GCAGCCCTTTAGAGTGTCATTTAAAAAAAACAAGCAATAATTTTATGTTTTTGTTGTATAATCGAGGATTTTTTTGAGCCAACAAAAAAATAAAACAGAGCTCATTCCAAAAACTCAACAGTGTTTATCTTCACACAAAACTGGTGCCGTATGAAATTGCTGAACTCAAATGAGACATACTGGAATCAAACATTTCTTAGACAAGAAATTAGGAAAGGAAGCTGTAAAATGCAGGTGTGTGTTTTTAGTGTCATCCTGAGCTGTGACACTAATGTAAATATGAAAGGACAAGAAATGAAGTTTAGCTAAACAAGATTGAGGCATGAAAAATCATAAAAATGATAACATACCCTGATATGAGTGCAATCTGAGTGTTTGTATGGAAACTGTAAAGAAGGCTGAGGAGATTGTATCAGGTTTACTGACCTGGATGTAACCCTGCTGGTCTATGAGCAGATTTTCAGGTTTTAAGTCTCTGTAGATCAGGTCCAAAGCGTGCAGGTACTCAAAGGTCAGAACGATCTGAGCAGCATAGAACCGAGCGTGAGGCTCACTGTGAAACCACAAATATGGGAGAATAAACAGTGAGGAGCGCAGTGGAGAGCTACAGTCAAAATTTAGGAGTTGAACTGAAGAAAAGAAAAAAGCGTTTTGAAAAGTCATTTTTGTTACTTTTTAAAAGCTGTATATTATGTCACTGCCCAAAAACACTGACCTAAATCTGCCAATTCTTCGTAGATGGGAGAACATCTCTCCACCTGGTACATATTCCATCACCATGTAGAGGTTAGTGTTGTCCTGGAGAAGAAAAATCAGAAATCAGTCCAACACACACTTATGTTCTTATATCCATATGGGAATTTTGCATTGACTCATTTGCTGGTCATTTCTACAGCCTAACYCTGACCCCTTACCCTAAACCTAATGACCTGAGTACATACCTAAGCCTAAACATAACCTAAACTCAAATCACACCTTACACCAGCCAGCCACTGGGAATAAAACGACTAGACCATTCAYAACTAGAAGCACTCAGAGTGCAAACCTCCGCCAAGACCAATTTCCCCCATCCTGTAATAGAGTAAATGCACAAAAGCAGAGATGAAAACACATTTGCCGATGAAGTTCTGACGTAGTGAACATTTAAGCAGGCAGTATGCACGGGATTTCTTCCTGGCGGAGTCCAATGTGAAATAAAACAAACGTCAGCCTCGTCACCTGATGTTATTCACTGTCAAAATGCTCGGATTAAGCTCCTAAGTCAGGACTATTCAACTGAATTGCTCCGGGGGCCACAGTTACTGCAGGTCAACAGCTTAGAGG